AACCACATTGGTCTCCCGGCCTACGGGTTTAATTTAAATTTTCCGGCGAGCCTCCCGTCACTTTTAGTCCCCTCCCGGGCCATCGGTTGCGTCTTCCGATGAAGCCTTGCAAATGGAGAAATAAATGAATAAATAAAGAAATACTTAGATACATAAATAGACAAATAAGTGAATGAATAAATGAATCAATCAATCAATTAATCAATAGAAAAACAATATATACCTCATGTTGCCTTTTTTCCTTTAATTATACTCTCGACAAATTTGTTCGCCATTTTGTTTTGCAGATTTTTCTTCCTGAAAATATTTTTAATTTCACCATTTGTGTATTTCGAATAAACTGGACCCAACTGAATGAGATTCAGAAGACACATTGCATTTGCATTCAGTAGTGGGCGAATTGTTGCCTATCCGCTACAAAGTATATTTTCTATATTATTTAACTTTGAATCTATCAACCAATTGTGGCATTTTTACAGACCGAAATGAAAGATTTCCCTACCCTTTAATCCACCCAGTAGAATAATCAATTACGGAGTCTGAATATTAAAATACCATTCTTCCGGAGAAGTTAAGCTCGAAAAATATTTTGGGATCATTGGATCATAGGAATGGAACACCTAGGGTCGGATGTACTCGAACTGACGAATGTCTAGATGTTGTGATACACTCATGAATCGACCAAAACCCCATTAATGTAGAATCTTCCCTAACTTGTGAATCCAATGCGTTTCCTTAGGATTTGAGAAGTTTTTGAAGTTTTTTTGAGGGTGTCAAATTTTTAAAGGTATTTTTTTTACGTAATAACTTTAATAAGCTTTGTCTAAAACAAGAGCAGCAGGTCAAGATGCTGTTAATTGTTATTAGCATTATTGTTTATTATAAACTGATAAATGTCAATAAGTGAGAGCTTTGACGGTACTTTTTTTTTGTTGACTTAATAACCTTAATAAGCTTTGTAGCAGCAGGTATTTTTTTTTTACTTAACTTTCCGTGAGTAAGCATTTTCTGAAATAATTACAGCAGCAGGTTAAGAGGCTGCTAATTGGTATTAGCATTCTTGATTATTTATTATGAAACGAATATCCCTAAGTGACAGGTTTGAGGAGTATTAAAGCCAATAACAAGCCAGTAGAATCTTCTTCTAATAATCAACTGTAGTGTGCTTTTGCTATTATTTCAATTGAAAGGTTTACAAACTAAATGGACTTTGTCATGTTTCACGAGGGTTAAGTTTTGATTAAACTGAAAGACAAAGTTGCAATTATTTTGACTTGAATTCGTGCCTTATTTGTCTGCTTGGGTTAACAGTGCTATTCAAATACCCGCTCACTGTTTTTACGAGGTCATTAGCTTTTTTTTAAAGTTTTCTCTTTGAAGCTGATTGGCGAAGCTAAAAATCGTGTGGCATTAAAATTAGCTTATTTAAAGGATCGAGCAGTGTCAGGAAATTTATAAGATACGCCACCGAAATGCCTTGACCGAGAGTGCGTGGGAAGACGCCGTACAGGGAATAGGCATGACAATGCCTCCCGTTGCGTGAAAGAAAAACAGGGAATTGTTGTTTATCTGCAACGTGTTTTACAAACAGTGACATCGGCTGCGTGTTGTTTCACCAGTATTTCGAGGGCATAAAATTAATATGTTAACCCCCAGAAGAAGCCAGATTTTTGCTATGGAATAAACTTGATTATTCGAGAGAGCGGCGGAAATGGAGCCTAGGTCAAGGTCAACACCTAAAAGGCGCTTGGCCTAACGTGCGTACGGAGTCAAAAGTAGCCTGGAAATAAAAAACGCAACCATAAGCGAGTTTAGCACCTTCCTTAAATTTAACAAATCTAGGGAACAATTTCATTTACGGTTAACTCTTTTTTACCCTATTTACGGCTAACGGTTAAAATTTTTCAATTTTTACGGCTATCGACTAAATTTTTGGGCGTTTTATGCCTATCGGTTAACCCCATTGAGACCCTCAGGAACTAGCCAGCAATTACTCAGCCCCCTACAATGTTTAAATTAACTTTAAAACCCCTTGAAATTTCTTTCAAGGTGTCAAATTTTTGAAGGTATTTGTTTACATGCTATAAATCAGTATAAATAAAGGTATAAATGCTATAAATAAGGTATAAATAACACAGGAAAACAAATTTGAAGAGGACTGAAAGGGATTGCAATTTTGGAGTTTGAAAACTTGTTAGCATAGTAATAGTTTTTCAAGTTCTGCGATTTTTGTGTTTGCAGCATTCCTTTCTCTTCTCACAGTGATAGCAGTCGCATTTGTCAATAAATCCGTCATATTTTGTTTGTTTGTTTATTTGTTTGTCTGTTTTTTTTTGTTTTTTTTTAAGATGAATCCATAAACGACGAAATTTCTTTAGGGATGCAAATATTATCATGCTCCTGTGATATTTTCATTAGGAACAAAAGGAACTAGCCAGGAATTACTCAGCCCGGCCCTTAAGTTGTTTAAATTAGCTTTAAAACCACTGTATTTTAATCG